ACCGCTGCAGCCTCAGACTATGCCTTGGTCTCATAATTTTGATCATAATGTCGCTCTTGAGTTGTGTAGTCAACCTTCTGGTGACTTCGCTTGGACTGGTCTTGTGAACCCTGGGTTTCTCTTTGAACTGTTTGTCTAGAGCGCGACGAAGAGTCTACTTTTGTAGTCTTTGGGTTCTAATTCTCTACAAGCTATTTGATTATTTATTGTTGCCTGGTTTCTACTACCCTGACTCTTAGTGTAATGGGAACTTTAACCCTGATAACCCTGGTTGTTGTCTTTCTGTTGACCGTTGTGCTAATTTCTCTGAGGGCTACCTAACGACCTGTGGACCGCTTGAGTTACCTTGCCGCCACCCGTGGCACAATTAGCTGCGAACATACCATTGTCATATCATTACGAACATGTCATTGCTTACTTCTGCGTCTTGGGCCAACGCCAGGGCGGATGGCAGATCTCGCGGTTGAGCGGGACACACTGCTTGCTTGAGAAACGTTTTAAGCCCAGATACAAAAGTATGCAGCGCGTTGTCTCAGAACTTTGCGTTGTGGACTGTTGCGGCTGCTACATCGTGGGTCATTATTGTTTTATTTTCAGTAGCGTAAGTTTTTTTTTCTATTCGTCGTATTATTCAAGCAAAAGCAGGTCGCCTTGCCTCATTGTGTCCAACTGTTGTTGGATAACAAGAATCGGAGTTTTTTCTGCGTAAGTAACATCTAAGCGGGCAATAATTGCGATCAAATTGCACACCGTGTTAAATGACACTAGTGTTGCGCCTGCAGGGCCTCAAATTTGGTTGTGAATAATTCCAACCGCTTGTTAATGTCAGAAGCTATCATCATAAGGCTTACAAATTTCGTATGCTGCAATTGCAGCCTGTCGCCAAGAGACATAATTTTCTTGGTTGCCAAGAATCAAATTGACGTATAGACTTTAAGACATCTAAGGGTTTATACCCCCTATAATTTTGGCTGGTTCGTCCACTAATATGTCAGGTGCATTTTGTATTATCTCGCAATGCGTTTGTTCTTTTAATGCTCTTAATTTTTCTTCAACGTTTTTCCATTGATACAGTTGTGCACCGTTTACGACACACTATTGATTGAATAAGCTGTTTGTTTTTTATACCCTGAACCCATTAAAAATGAGTATAAGGGTATATTGTATTTGCGCAAAATCCAAATGTATGTAACAGGTAGAAGAAGCATCTCCGACCCAATAAAGAATATATATTCTTGATCAGCATTAATTGCCGAGTCGATCTAGCCATGCCCGTCTGTCTGTCCGTCCGTCCGTCCGTCCGTATGTATGTATGAACGCAAGGATCTCAGAAGCTATATGAGCTAGAGACTTAAAATCTTAGATGTAGGTGCTCCTAGTGCCTGCGCAGATCAAGCAATCGATAAAAATCGATATCGCTATCCTGCTTTTTGGGCAATTTCGGTAAATAATAAGAGCTAGAGTCACCAAACTTGACATATAGCTTCTAAAATGCATTTGATGTTGGAAGAAGAGGGTTCAGGGTATCCCCTAGTCGGGAGCTCCCGACTGGAACCTCTTACTAGTTTTTTTTTGTTTGATGTGTTTTGTCGCAGTGTTAGTTTGCGACTTGAAATATATTGTTTTAAAAACTATTTTTTTAATTTGTGGTTTTATTTTCGCAGCAGTTTCACACACGTTTTTACTTGGACTGGATTTTTATAAAGTGCGGCGTTCGACTTTGTTGGGCGCCAATTAACAAGTCGGAGTTATATGTTTTATTATTGTGTGTGCCTGTGCCTGTTGATCGTTCCATAGAAACTTAACTTATGATAACTTAAAGCTATCCCACGCAGTCCACGGTCCGGGAAAGCGACATCGGCAGAATGCTGACTTGACGCCTCGTGACCGTTCTTAGCTTGGACACTTGGTGCGCGCATGCTGGTGTCAGATTACGTCGATGACTATGTTGCATCGTTCGCTACTTTGTAGCGCACATATTCGCTTTTGGGACACTCTGCGAATCATTTCGTTAACTTACATAAAAAATGTATGTATGTATGTTATGTCAAATAAATCAATTATTTTTGTAGGTTTTTCTTAAGACTTTTCGACTTTACAAATGGAGGATAATTAAAACAAAATATGTATCTTTACCCTTGTATTTGAATAAATTCTTTATTAAGGTGTCGTCATTGAAATCGCTGAATGGTTAAACTAGTAGATTTAACACGAACAAGTAAAATGTTCTAGTCGGGAGCTCCCGGCTAGGGAATACCCTGAACCTTCTTATTGCAGCACCAAATAAATTTTAAAACAAAAGTTCCCTTGGCAGGGCTCGAACTCGCAACTGACCGCATTACTTGCTGTCGACTCTACTAAACAGCCACACCAGCAATAAAAAAACAAAAAAAAAAAAATACTTTCCTCGGTAGTCCTCGGAACTTAAATAGCATTACAGAAAAAAGTCTCAATTACCATGCTGTTAGATTGCGAAGCAGACGCGCATGAATGTGTGTGTTTACATGTATATTCTTAGTTTTGCTAGCTGCCCCATCCAATTGCGCAGTTGCATATAACTTTGGTTTTTTCTAAGCCGATCTTTATGAAATTTTCTACAGTATATCTTATTTTACCATAGAATATTTGTGTATTCTGAAAAAGTCAATTGCATTTAAATTTTGGCTTAAATTGGTTGGCAATAAAAGTTGGGTTATTAACTTGATTTATAGCTGTAGGGTGGTAGCGGAGGCGTGGCGATAGGTATAAACTGAAAGATACTTGACAAATATATATTTGGTGACTCTAGCTCTTATTATTTACCCAATTCGCTCAAAAAACAGGATGCAGATATTGATTTTTATCGATTGCTTGGAAACGGAGTAAGTTATTGGTTATCAGAAACAAACTCGATCTGCGTGGCACTAGGAGCACCTACATATAAAATTTCAGTCTCTAGCTTAATCGGTTCGGAGTTCCTTGCGTTCACACATACGGACGGACGGACGGACGGACGGACGGACGGACATGGCTCGATCGACTCAGCTATTGATGCTGATGCTGATCAAGAATATATATACTTTATGGGGTTAGAGATGCTTCCTTTTGCCTGTTACATACATTTGCATTTTGCACAAATACAATATACCCTTATACCCATTTTAAATGGGTAGACTTCAAGCAGAGGTAGACTGTTTAATGGTCAGCCCAGAGGACCCGGAACGTTTAATTGGCTTGTCAATGCAAGGGAGGTGATTTCGCCTGTCATTAACTTAGAAATAAATATTACACCAGATACAATTCTGACACTAGGACCTACTTTCGAAATATTAAAACTCTATCTTTTAAAGGTTTTGAATGATTGAAGTTTTCATATACTATGAGTGTTATTCATAAATTCATCGATCGGACAGGACGATTTTATCACAATAAAGTGCCTATACTAGGGTGTAAAATTGATGTCTTAAATTTTTCAATGCATAATCTTTATATATAAAACTGTTTGTCCTGGCTGACTGATTGGTGATTAACGCACAGGCCATATCGTTAGACCTTGGAAGTTGAAATTTGCTCTGCAGTAATGTACGCAAGTACGGAAAAATTCAAGAAAAACGTGTGTGTGAAAATTTTACCATCTGTTCGGCATCAAACTTATTTTTTAAACAAATTGTGTTAAATTATATTTGAGGGATGTTAAACACTTTTCGAAAAAGCCATTCCTCGATGGTGGAAATGGGGGTAAAAGATTTTGTGGGTAAACTTTCGCGTTTAAACTTATGTTCAACGACCTATATGAAAAATCATTTGAGACGTATTTAACATTTTTCGCCGACTGAAGGATCCTTGTTAAATGTGTGATTCTACGATTTTTCTGCTGAGGTTTTAAGTTTTTTCCGGTTTGCTTCAAAATAAATTTTCAGAGCTCTAGATTAGAACTTAACAAATACGCTTTTAAGCAATATGGGAAATTTCACCCGCAACTGAGCCAATCCGGCAGAAAAAATTAAGTTAGCTTTTTGGTTTATTATCGGTTTCAAACTCATTTCATAAGATTTTTATCAGAGCTTAACTGACACGCCCTCGCAAATTTCACGACTATTGTATAGAAAATGCGCGTCTACCGACGGAAGTTTTTTATTCGGCTTCAAGACTCTAACCACAAGACTAACAAGGGCGGAAATCTCTAATTCCAACATTTGGTTCCTTATTCGATGCACCTTAAACATATTTTTTAATAGAAAAGGGGTTCAAGGTATAACGGGTAGATTTCAATTTTCCACGGGCATGTTCTGAGTGGAAGGAATAATCTAAAATATTTACCATGATCCACGGGCAAGGCCGGACAATATCCGCTAGTATATATATATATATATATATATATATATATATATATATATATATATACTAGCGGATATTTATAATATATCCTTATAATCTTTTGGTTGTGTGTAATTTATTGCATTGCTGTCGATAGCCTAATTCCTTAAACTTGCAGCAATGCAGCATTACAAAAAATAAATCCGAGGTATACCAAGGACCTCATTATCGGTGCCTGTGCGAATCTGTCGTGCACAACAACGACCTCTTTAAGCACTTATTGTCCCTGTACACGCAGTCGTCAAATGAAGCAGGGGCATCAAGGGGTAGCAAGAACTAAATACCTCCCACACAAGTGTTGGCGATAAGGTGAAAAACAATATTAAAATAACTAGTGTATAAATATAAATATTATTTCCCATAAGAGTAGCGATAATACTTTTTTGAGTTATTTTATACTTCATTTTGGCTTGCAATCTGCACTCGTTATGTATCTACTGTACATATTGTTAAGTCCACTAAATGTTTGAGTTGATATGCTGCCCAGTCAGATAATCCCAGTAGTATGCTTTTACTTTTTACGCTTACGAAAGTGATATGCGGTTACTCGCGTACTTTCCCGTTTTCTTTGGAATACTATGTTTTGAGCATCTCTAATATAATGACATCCACATGGTTTTTTCGACGCCTGCGCTGTTTGCTTAAACACCACACTTTCTAACCCGAGCAGGGAATTGCCGATTTTACGACTTGACAAATTTGGGTGTCTGTGTATGAACTTCTTACTTGAACATGTGGAACCTAGAATAGTGTACACATTTGCACACAACCATATCAGTACGTACACACGTACGCATCAAGTTCTCTTCGCTGATTTTCGTCGCTACTCTTGTTTCGATTCAGTTTTATAAAGGACGTGCTACGCGATGTGTCAAAAGTATTTTTTTTATCGTCGGTCTAACTTCCTGCTGAACGCCTTGTTGCACGCTTTAAGTAAATCGTGAACAGTGAACGGTAAACCACACTTTCTTGTTACCATCGACCATTGCCGATACCTCGTCGGCAACCGTGTTATTGGCATTATTGGCCTAATGAATGTTATATATTGTATTTTTTTTTGTTGCTGCTTTTCAAAATAAGTGATAAATAAATAAAGAGAATGTGCTGAACATCCAAAAAATGGTTTCCAAGTTTTGCAAACGAAGCGAACGTTGTGGGTACCTTGTAATAATTTTCTGTTAGCATAAGTTCCACATGTGTGTGTAATCATGCTTGGTTGGAGAGGAGTGGGGCTTATATCCACTGCTACTGATAATTGTTGGTGCAAAATAAAATAACACTTAAGTGGTACAAGCTGGCTATAAAAATTATCATATTTCAGTGACAGACGCGCTAATATTGGATAGTAACATTTTAAGTTCCTGCATTGGATATTCAACAAATTTTATTTGAATGTTAATAATACTTAAAAATGAAAATACAATCTGATGCGAATACAACATTGAGGATACAACATTGACACATTATATAACATAAGGCATTGAACAACTTTACTTTCGTTAGTAAGCTATGGAAGACATATACGTTACAAAATGAAATAGTTAATATTCTGAAAAGCTGCTTACACATGCACATGCCACAGTAAGATTCATATACACATACACATGTATATGTCCATGTCCAAGTACATTAACATATACAGATACATATACATATATATATATATGTATATGTATATACATATACATACATATATATATGCATATGTATATACATATACCTATATATATACATATGCATATGCATATTCATTTACATATGCATACACATTCACATACACATACACATGCACATATACATATACATATACATAAACACATACATATACAAATACATATACATATACATATACATATACATATACATATACATATACATATACATATACATATACATATACATATACATATACATATACATATACATAGACATATACATATACCTATACATATACATATACACATACATATACATATACATATACATATACATATACATATACATATACATATACATATACATATACATATACATATACATATACATATACATATACATATACATATACATATACATAAACATATACATATCCCATAGGAAGTCTATGGCTTCTGCTGAAAGTTTTTAAGTAATCCGTTGTTTAGAGAGAGCAAGAATTTCAGCTTGGTTATCCGTATAGATTTTATAGGACGTGTAGAGGACAGTTTTAGGTACTGAACAAAAATTAGAACACACAAGTTCTTCTACACATAGGCTTTTCAATCTGAAAGCTCTTTTATATTATATCTTATAGGCTAAGTGCGCATCACTTGTGCAATTATGTTCTCTGGCCATAATCATTTTCTCAATTTAAATTGAGTAGGTTGAGCTTTATTTAGGGCTTAATCGACAGCTTTTGCTCAAAGCGCGGCGTACCATCATTTTATCTAATCGCTGGTATTCGCGCTCTTTGATAATGTCGTGAGTAAGCTTTGGTGCTGGATCATATAATGATGCAGTTATTCGAATTGAAAAGGCGTCCACTAATATGCTTACACGAAGAGGACAGCGATGGTATCAATGTGCTCTTTCCAGCTTTGAGAGGAATTAACTGGAAGCAATATGCGTCGCTTAGCAAAGTGGCTCGAGTTCAGACGACGTATAACTTGTGTACTGGCCACGAGAAAACTACAGTCTACATCTAAAGTTGGTTTATTATTGCTATACATCATTTTCCTAACCTCCATTGTGTAGAAGTGTTTTGGCTGGATAGAAAATGTCTGCTTATCCCCCATAGTAGTGCATCAAATTTAATAAGTTGTGGTTCCATAGGGTAAGCTGTGAAGAAATGAGCTTTTTATCGATTGCAAGTGCATCGGGTACAACGACCGGTAGTCTTCCGGTTGGTGGTGAACAGACTTAATTCGAACAAGAGTTACAGAAGCCGGCGGGTGTGCTGGAAAATTCCTCCGGAAATCCCAGTCCGGGTAAAGATCGCTCCCCATCTTTAACCTCACCAAGAAAATAAATAAGTAAGAGGTTCTAGTCGGGAGCTCCCGACTAGGGCATACCCTGGACCCTCTTATTCCAACACCAAATAAATTAATAAAAAAAAGGTCCCTTGGCAGGGCTCGAACTCGCAACTGACCGTATTACTTGCTGTCCACTCTACTCAACAGCCACACAAGCAAAAAATAAAAAAAAAATAATACTTTCTCCGGTAGGCTTCGAACTCGCGACAGACCGCACCACCTGCTATGCCTCTACTCAGCAGGCACACCAACAATTAAGTTCTTATGATAAAAAAAGGAACTTAAATAACATTACAAAAAAAAGATGCAATTACCATGCTGTTAGAATGCGAAGCAGACGCGCATGAATGTGTGTGTGTACATGTATACAGAAATTCTTAAAGCTGCTGCCCCATTCAATTGCGCAGTTGCATATAACTTTGGCTTTTCTTAACCGATCTTTATGAAATTTTCTACAGTATATCTTATTGTACCATAGAATATAATATATATAAGTTTATTTTTCTGCTTGTTCTGTTCAAGCATTATTGTAGCTCTTTTATATGCTAACTATAACCTATATTTTGATTCCTTAACGTAATCATCTATATTATATAGAGGCTTATACTATTCATTACCTATTAAATAGCTTGTTAGTATTAGCTTTCTTACTAAAAATTAATTCAAAGGGACATAGTAATGCATTGTCGATGGTGTTGTATTAAAACAATTTACAAAGTATTGAAACCAAACACCCCAGTCAGTTTTATCATCTGATATATAAGAACGAATGAATTCGTTCCTAACGTCTGGTGTTGATGTGCCGTAGAAGTTATGTTTTTAATATCAAGGTACATACATAAATATACTATAACTGAATTGTTATATTCTGTATCCATGTCCGTAATTAACGTCTTCATTGGATCGTATTTCAGAATAAAATCTTCGAATATAGCTGTAGCTACAACCTGCACCTTTGTTTGGAATAGGTATTGCAACAAGATATTTTGTTAAGTCACATATCAGTGCAACTGCATATTCATTGATTTTGGTAGTGGACCGATCGTGTCTACTAAGTATTTGTCTATCGGAAGCCTCGATTGGGGCTTCCGTGGTTGTTAAAGGAGTTTTTGTGTGTGTTGTCACTTTTGACTTTGGCATTTTTGACATTTTTGTATATACTCAGTAATATATCGGGTCATAACCTTCAAAAATATTTTCTTTTGAGGTTTTTGTAATGTCTGTGTGACCTTATATTAGATCATTATGAAATGTAGACAGTATAACTTCTTTTTATACCCTCAACCAATTGAAAATGGGTAAAAAGGGTATATTGTATTTGTGCAAAATGCAAATGTATGTAACAGGCAAAAGGAAGCATCTCCAACCCCAAAAAGTATATATATTCTTGATCAGCATCAGCATCAATAGCCGAGTCGATCTAGCCATGTCCGTCTGTCTGTTCGTTCGTCCGTCCGTATGTATGAACGCAAGGATATCCGAACCGATAAGAGCTAGAGACTTGAAATTTTAGAAGTAGTGCCTGCACAGATCGAGTTTGTTTCCGATAATCGATAACTTACTCCGTTTCCAAGGAATCGATACATAAATCGATAACGATGTCCTGTTTTTCGGGCAATTTTGGTAAATAATAAGAGCTAGAGTCACCAAACTTGTCATATAACTTCTAAAATAAAATATATATATGCATTTTATGTTGGAAGAAGAGGGTTCAGGGTATCCCCTAGTTGGGAGCTCCCGACTAGAACCTCCTACTTTTTTTTTTTTGAATAGGAGTCAGATCAACAAATTATAACCAAAGCAAAACTTCTTCGGCTGAAGTATTATGAAGTCACGTATTTTGGCAGGTTCTACATCTAAAGAAACATAATCACTAGAAATAAAGTTTGCTTGCAGCGGAAGGCGAACAACCCGAGTGGTCGTATAAAAACTTACAAAAGGTGCAACTCAATCAACATACTTGACCCCCAATTAATCATAGCCTTGAATTAGAGTTATGCAGATTTTATCCTCAGATTCGACCCATCACAGGACGACCCACCCTCTTTGGTGTTATACAAATTCACTTACTGCACCCAAGAGTTTCATGTTGATAAAACGCGGTTGAAACTTCTTGAGAAATTTTGAGAGTGTAGTCACACTACCAAACGATATATACAGTTATGACCCAAAGCAATTACATGTATAATCCCTGTATATCCGTTGGCTGCGAACCAGCTCACTTCGGTGAAATTTATAAAAATATTTTTTTAATAAATACTAATAAAAAAGGCAAAAGCAGCAAAACCACGCACCGAATTATGATTAGGCCGAAAAGTGATAAGATATCGTTATATCAAAAATCGTATGCCGCCTTAATTCTGCCAACGCATATACTATTCTCACTGTAAAAGAGAATGCATCAAAAATTTAATGAAGTGGCGGGATAAAAAATTCGACCGAACGTTCCTATGGCAGCTGTATGATATAGTGGTCCGATCTTAATAGGATTTTGCATATATATGAGGAGCATAGTAAAACTAATAAATTGCGAGTTTGGTCAGGATATCTTGATAAACGAAATGTTTTTTCATACAAGAACTTAATTTTCGACCGATCGTTCCTATGGCAGCTATATTATATAGTTTTCCCATCTTAATAGGATTTTGCATACATATAAAGAGCAAAGTAAAACTAATAAATGCCGAGTTTGGTCAAGATATCTTTATAAACACAAAAATATTTTTCATACAACTACATTTTCAACGGATCGTTCCTATGGCAGCTATATGATATAGTGGTCCAATCCAGCTGGTTTTGACATATGTATTACGTGCTCCTCGAAAACTAGCATTAAATGCATATGCACAATAAGGAAGCAATATGCTGCTAGATCGAATAAATTTAAGCGCAAACGATGATATCAACCAGTTAAAGCCTTGCTGGATAGCTGGCGACAGAAAATATTCAACTTCGCAATTTGCTAAGGCCTTTGCGCGTCATGAAATAAACGCCATCGGCGTTGCTGCCAGCTGTGATCAAATAAGGGACATGATTGACAACAATCAGGCAAAGACAGCAGGAACTGACAATGCACTCGACACGTGTAACCGTAAAGTGGCTGCGTTTAACGACTTAACACGGCTCGTTCGGCGTAAGCTACATTCTGAGCCAACAGGTGTCCACGCTGCTGGATGATACTAAACATTTGCTGGATCAAATCATGGGCAAAAACTTGGAAATACCCTGTCAGGCGGAGCCATCACGTCAGACGCAGACACACGGTTGTCGTAAACGCAAGCCAATCATCGCCACAGAGACGACTACGATGTGTTTAGCCAAGCGCGCTAGAATTAGGGATCCCCAGCTGTTGGACGAGCAAAATATTGACTACTATAGGAACATGTTATCGGAATCGCATCTGTGGAATACAGAAACAGAAAATCTTGAGATTGAGCAGACCATTGAAGTGGCACGCACATGCTCAGCCCAGCATGTGATTAGCTTCACAC